GCTCCATTCTCTCTACATGTCCGAACCACCTCAACAAACCCTTTCCTCAGCCCTCGGGACAACTTTTTTTGGAAAACCCGCACCTCCTCCTAACTTCCAAACTACAATTCTCTGCATTATATTCACACCACCCCATTGCCCCCAACATGACTCTCCACCCCTCCACCCTTCTCCTGGGCTCCCAACACACCCACCCCCCGTTTTTCACCCCCCATAAAAGCGTTGGAAAAAACATACTCTCATACTTTCCCCCTTTCTTTGCCCCCAAAGGGACAAAGTTTTTTGTTTCCACAGACTCCTAATGCACCACTAAACTTTTTTTTTCCCCTCAAAAAATTTCTATAAATTAAACCTCACCCTTTAAATAGACCCATCCGTTTGCCCACTTCCCCCCTCCCAAATATCGAATACGTTAAACCCTCCTCCATACCTCTCCCTCCAATCTGATACCCAATCTTTCATCACCAAATCTTTTTTTATCCTCAAACAAAACTCTTTCCGTTTTAAACCTTTAATTTTTTTTTTGGGCCCCCACCCAAACCAAAATTCATCCACCAATCTCTGCAACTTCTTTTCAAAAACCCCAAGAGAAACAGTGCCCATCAGAAAAAAGAGCACTGTGACAACCCCCCTTTTTTGTGTGTGAATTTTTATTTTTTAAAAACCCCAAACGCCTCTTCCCAAAAAACCCTCTTTTTTTATTTCCCTTTTAAAAACCCCCCATCTATAAATATATTAAAAAAACCAGGGTGACATCACACACCCTTGTCTAAGGCCTATTTTTAACGGGGGGAAAAAATTTCCCTCTTTCCTACATACTCTAACCCTTGGGGCCCACTATCCCCCGTAAAAAATCTTTTACTGCTTTTAGTAACCTACCTCCTACACCAAACACTTGCAACATCTCCACATTGCCCCCCCATCCACCCTGTCAAAGCCCTTTTTCCCAAAACCATAAAAGCCCCCCAAAGACCCCTTTAGCCCTTTTCTAAAAACGTTCACTTATATGTTTTAAATGTAAAAACCTGGTCCCCCCACCCCCTACCTTTCCTAAAGCCTCCTTTTTTTCATCTGCTATCCTAATTCCCCCGTCTTTCTCTTAATTTTTCAATTATAAATCAAACCCTACAAAATTTAACCCGGGACACTCAACAGACTTATCCCCCCTATTTTTAAATTTTTTCACTCCCCCTTTTATCCCCCTTTTCCTTTATACAAAGGAACTATGCATGCTCCTGCCAAACCCTAGGGGACCTTTTACCCTCTTTTCCCTAAAAATTTTTTTTAAAAAAGCACCAACCACTCCAAAAATAATCCCCCCCTGCTTTTAACATTTCCCATCTTTATCCCCCTCAAACCCCCTCCTTAAACCCCCTTTTTATTTTTCCTACGCCCCCACGAACTTCCCCCCCACCACAAATGGCTTTCCCCCCTCCTACAAGATGGTTTTTTTTCCCCCCTTGCCCTATACACGAAAACACAGCTTCCCCCATCTTTATCAACATTTTTAAAAATTCCTCAAAAATCCTTCCATCCCTTTCCCCCTACCCCCTAACTCCCATTTTAAAAACCCCTCCTCCCTATTTTTTAAATGACAAAACCATTTTTTTTCTCTAGGCTTTTTTTAACTTGTTAATCTCCCCTTCCAAAACTTTTTTCCTTTTTTCAACCAAAAATTTTTTGAAACATCTCACCCATTTTTCTCATTTCTTTTCCCTTTTTTCATTGCTTTCACCACTTTTCTTAACTTCTCCTTTTTCTCCATATACTCTTCCCTCCTTGCATCACTTCTACTTTGTAAAAACTTCCCCCATATCTAACATTTTTCTCCCTTACTACTCTCTTTACAAACATTCATTCCACCCAAACCTCCTCCTCCCTCCTGGGACCCACTTTCCTGTAACCACAAACTTCTGCTGAAAAACTCTAAAAACTACAAATTTTTTTAAACCCAAAACCCCCTACCTTTTTTCGACCCCATTGCCCCAGCCTCTTAGCCCATCTATCCCCAAAAGCTGGGTTTTTACTTTAAACCCCAATGCCCCCCTCCCTTTTTGTTTTTTAAACCTTCCCCCTCTTTCTTCCCTGATGCTTTTATTCCCCCTTGTATCCCCTCTACCTTTTTTCTCTCAGTAACTACAACCAAAAATATCTGATATCCGTGGCCCCTCTATAAAAAAATGTACCTCCGAAATCTACTCAACAGCTTTTATCTCCCAAAACATAAACCAACAAACTACTGTCATTTTTTGCCCTACACATATCGTGGTTTCTTATTTAAAACCTTTTTTTTCTTAAAAAAAAGTTTACCTATAACAAACCCCTTTTTTATCCCAAAATTCAATCAAAGGGCTTTCCCCCAAATTTTTTTTTAAAAAAAACCCAACCCCCCCCCCCAAAATTACCTACCACAACCCTCTCTAAAAGATTCCCCTACTTTTGCATTCAAGTCCCCTAAACCCCAAAATTTCCTATTATATATATAAATATATATTATATA